GTATAACACATGGCAACAACTGTTGACCTACCAGCTCTGGCAAGGACTACCCCCTTTATTTGCTGAGATATGGAGACTGGGAAAGGCACTGGGCAGAAGTGGGCACTGGAGGCCTGGAGTAGTGGGTTTTGACCAACCAGAGGAGTATTTTAAATTAAAGTTGTATCAATGTGATAGTTGAATAACAGGCCAGCTTTCTTGTATGCTCACAGAATTTTACAAGTAGCCAGGGAGGGACAAGGCAGGTACATAAAAGGGGATTACATACGTACATACATACACACATGAGCACACACACAATCAGATTCTCTTTTTTAAAGGTGAGGATAAGATTTTAGTACCCAAACCTTTTCCTTTGGTATTTATCAGACCTTATTCAGAGAAGCTCTTTATCTGGCAAGTGAGGCTGGTAGAGCAAGAGTTAAGCTTTTTGGAAGACAATTATTTTGCAGAATTGGTTACCAGGCTCAAAATGGGAAGGTAGAGGCTTGTTTAAATTTGGCCGAAGTTAAGTCAATAAATAGACCTTAGATCCTTTAGAAAAGTAAAGAAGTTATAAGTTTAAAAATTGTTCAGTGGGGGAAATGAGTGAAGGTGGACAAAAGGTACGTACTTCCAGTTATAAGGTAAATAAGGTCCGGGAATTTAATGACCATAGTAAACAATACTGTATTGTATACTTGAAAGTTTCAGAGAAAGCAGATCATAAAAGTTCTCACCAGGAGAAAAAATTTTAACTATGTGAGGTGATGGATGCTAACTAAACTTGTGGTCAAATCATTATGTGGTATACCTTAAACTTATACAATGGTATATGTCAATTACATATCAACAAAACTAGGGAAATGTTCATTTCTAAAATCATTCATCAACCGATGAATGGATAAACAAAACGTGGCATGTCCATATCATGGAATATTATTCAGCCATAAAAAGGGATTAAGTACTGACACATGCCATAACATGGATGAACTGTGAAAACATTAAGGTTGAAGTGAAAGAAACTAAACACAAAAGGGCATATAATGTATTATTCCACTGATATGAAATGTCCAAAAACAGGTAAATCCAGAGAGTAAAAGTAGACAAATGGTTGTTAGAGCCTGAGGGGCG